CCAGACCATTCTATGATTCTGTGATTCTATTCCAGAGATCATACTATTGACTGGTTTCTTGAAGGCATTGTCGGAGAAATTGGAGTCCATAGAATTGGAATGAAGTTCTAATGTTATCCCCTTGAGAATTATTTTATTGTCTTTCTATCATAATTTTTCTGAGATCAGTATTCTAAAGAGGGCTAGCAATCAAGTGATGTAGCTGCACGTCATTCATGTCTTAACAATTCTGACTAGCAGCACTTGAAAAACATGCTGCCTTCCCCATGACAGTAGCACAGCGTATTATATTCTCTGTGAGAGCGTGTTGCATGTTTCTGTAGCATTGCAGAGATGGGCCATGTGTGACTTGATACTGGTTATATTCTTACTTTTGGCGGGGGGTGGGGGGGCTTTTTTGCTTTCAGCTCTTTGAAACCACTGAGTGTGGAAACGGATATGTGGAAGCAGGAGAAGAATGTGACTGCGGTTTCCGAATGGCAAGTAGAGTTATATGTTACTCCACAAGTCTTTCTGATAAAATATATTAATATAAATTATGTGATTGGTCAGGGAAGGCAAAGGGCAATGGAAATGAATTTGTTTGGTCTGTTTTTAGGGAACAACTTAAAGGACTGGGTTTTAAACAACATTTTTTCAAGTGAGAATGAGTGCAAAGACAGAGCATGCCCTCAGAACAGTGTTCATGTCATACTGATGACAAGATGTAGCTGTTTCTCAGCAATTTTTGAATTGCACTGTAGAAGTGCTTTTCCCTTTACTTTTCCTGGGTAGTGTGCCTAGAGTGGTAGACTCCTTATCTGTGCTTTGGAGATAGGTGCCTGTGTTTGGACAGCATAAGTAAACTGTTGTTTTCTTCTCTATTGTAGAAATATTCCAAGAATGTTTTTGCAAAATCTGTCCTGTAGCTTTGAGTCCTAGTTCTAGTACTTAAATATAATTACATCCATAATTAATTTTCTTAATCTTTTTTTCTGCACTGAATGCAATTTAGCTAAGCAGCACGCCTTGGCACAGGATATTCCATGCCTGTGAAGAGGCTTCAGAAGGTGTGAATCCCCCTGTTGCTGTAGCATATATGTCAATGTTTTCCATTTCCTTTAGTATTTAAGCATTGCAAAGGATTCTTCCAGCTGATAATTTCAAGTCATCAGTGCTGAACTGAATGTTTTGTCTGCTGGTACATAATAGCTTCTTGGAAAGATTGTGAAGAAAATACTTATTTAAAATAGGAAGCTAAAAATGTTGCTTAATATTTTCTTCAGGAATGCTATGCAGACTGTTGTAAGAAGTGCTCTCTTTCTAATGGAGCTCATTGTAGTGATGGACCCTGCTGTAATACATCATGTCTTGTGAGTGTTGCTGCAGTATATCTATTGTTCTTTTCCATTGTCCATGGAAGTCATGTGCAGCCTATTAACATAAGTTCAAAGTGAACTTTTATGTAAAATGAAAAGGAAATGCTTATGTAGGCTAAGGCTGTTATTCTAGACAGCAGTGCGGTTACTGCCCCAAATATAAAGGGAATAGATTGCATTGGATACGTATTCATGTAAAAATGCCTTTTATTTGCATTTATGTAACAGAGATGGAAAAAACCCTAAATCTTCAAAGTAGTATATACTTCAGTTTAGCCTGTAAAATATTAAGAAATGGAAATATTTTTCAACACTTTGAAATAACTATTGAGGTTATGGTGTTCTGTTGTTCGGCAAGCAAGAAAAGGCAAATATGTCTGGAGTGTAGTGTTTACAGAGCATTAAAAAGAGGAGTAATTACAAACAGGAACCTTTAATTTTGCTTTTACATAATTTTTACATAGTCCTGAACTATGTTCTTCACTTTCTAGTTTTTCCCACGAGGCTATGACTGTCGCTATGCAGTGAATGAATGTGATATTGCGGAGTTTTGCACTGGAGATTCTGGCCAGGTATGTATGCAGAAGCTTTCTCTAGTTACACTATTGAAGTTTGCACTCATTTTATATCACTTTAAGAGGAAAATCTGGATTAACAAACTGCACTCTCATACACCCACAGTAACTGTGGGATGTTATTTTTTTAATCCTAACAAAATTTTTTAAACATAAGAATAAACTGTCATGAGCTCAAAAAAAAAAAAAATCTAAGTGGACTCAAAATAATGACTTCAGTAGGTTTATTTGTTTTTTTAAAACTTGTGGAGTTTTGTGTATCTGTATAGTATTTTATTAGACATCCTCCTTTACTCTTTGCCTGGTTTAGAGTGTAAGTAGTAAGAATATTACTACAAATGTGAATGGATTCAAAGGTAATAACAGTAAGATTTTATGAAATAAAATAGTTTAAAATATAAATGTAGAAAATTACAACTAACTGAGTATATATTAATAGAATCATTTAGGTTGGAAAAGACCCTTAAGATCATAAGAGTCCAACCGTAAACCTAACACTACCAAGTCCACTACTAAACCATGTCCCACCACATCTACACATCTTTAAAATCCCCCCGGGGATGGTGACCCAGCCACTTCCTTGGGCAGCCTGTTCCAATGCTTGACAAACCTTTAGGTGAAGAATTTTTACCTAATATCCAATCTAAACTTTCCCTGGCGGAACTTGAGGCTGTTTCCTCTTGTCCTGTCACTTGTTACTTGGGAGAAGAGAGCAGCACCCACCTCACTACACCCTCCTTTCAGGTACTTGTAGAGAGCGATAATGTTTCCCCTCAGCTTTGTTTTCTCCAGGCTGAACAACTCCAGTTTCCTCAGCCACTCCCCATAATAATACTTGTATAAAGTGTTATGCTTTTTAAGAGTGTGCATATGTATGATAATTTTAAAAGATGTGGATCTTATGTATTTCTCTTGAAAACATTTGGCTAATACTCAAAACTATAGGAATAAACAGCAACTGAAAGGTTGTTTCAACTTGAGTTCTTTTAAATAGTCAGCATTCTGTGCTTCTTCCATTTTTACAGCAAGTTTGATGCTTTAGGTGATACATGCTTCTTTTCAGTACTATTTAGCTTCAAGGTTATATAAGAACTTCATAACTGCTGCAGTTATCTAGTGCATCAGGTTCTTAGCTTTGAGGAAATCAGATTCAGGATAGGTCACATCTTTCTCTGGGCATTGGCTGTAATTATAGATGCCAATAAATTAACGGTGACCTCTTTTTATATTATCATCTGAGACATCCACATGTACAGATAAGCAGCTATTGCTGAGATTTTATTTTAATCTTTTATTCTATAGATGGAGCATTCTTAGTGGGAAGGAGAATGGCTTTCTCAAGCTTGAAAGGCTGCCCTCAAAATATTGGCTATTATGGTACACTGCAGCAGCATACCCCTTCCAAATATTCACAGGTCCCTTTTTGATGAGAAAAAGCTTTGAGAATGGTCTGCTCCTAGCTTTAGTAGTCTGAGGCTTCTGGACCTAATGACTTGTTCATACCACAAAAGTCTGCAATGCAAAGAGGACATGACAATTAAAATAATAACCCCACAGCTCTGTAAGCAATAGACTTGTAGGCTACAACTAGGTGCTCACTTACTTTGTTAGTGGAACTGAAATGAATGCAGTGGCAGTGTTGCAGACATGGCCCCAGTATTAGCTACCAAATATCCTGTTACTGAACACATTTGTTTTGCTTTTTATTTTGCCTTACCTCCTTAGTTTCTACTTGGAATATGCAGCAAGTTAGGATCAAACCTTGTATTTCATGGGTGAAGATGTTAAATTTTTCATTTGTATTTGTTGCTATAAAGATTCCTGCACTAATTATGTTATCTACTCCCTTTATATGGTGTGCAATTGTCTTTTAAAACTGGGAACATTCCATATGTGATCCTTTGATATATTATTACAGTACACATCATTTAAAAAAAAAAAAAATCTTAATTTGTTTCAGTGTCCACCAAATCTTCATAAACAAGATGGTTATGCCTGTGATTCTAATCAGGTATGCAATGTTTTAAAATCCCTGCACATCAGCAAATAGAAATAAACCAAATAAAAATTTTCTTTTTTTTTTTTTGAAATCCTGTCTTCTGTTTTTTTTCATAAATTTTGCCTTTTGGACATCCGTGTTGCTTATGCTTTATGTACTCTATGAATAGTAAAAATTTCTAGTTTGAGAAAAAATCTGCTTGGTATCTTTACATTTTACATGTAGATCTTTTATTACACTCCATGTTAGTAAGTTCTTCACAACTATGTAAATGAGAGGTATACAGCAGCTGCTGAAATGTCAGTATGTGTTAGACACAAACTGACTTTGAGAATCTGGTTGAAAATGTGTACTCCATCTACCCAAATTCATGAAAACTACTATACATTCCAATATGTGTGTGAAAAATCAAAATGAGACGTTTGTTGGGGGAGGGGAAGGAAATGAAATAATGTTCAGTTCTCATTGCTAACATGTTGTGTTTTGTTTAGGGTCGTTGCTATAATGGGGAATGCAAGACAAGAGATAATCAGTGCAAATATATCTGGGGATCTAGTAGGTTGACTTTACCTTAAATATGTTTTATTTCTGGTTAATTCCTGCTTTTATGTTGTATTTTTAGTATTTTTATTTTTTGTTCTTGCCACTGTAAGTCAAAGTTTTCTGCTCATTAGTAGGCTGCAGTGAGAAACTGTGCCTTGATTGGCAAGTGAAATTTCGAGTTGTATGCTTGTTTGGGAGTGATGACAGTGAGATTGTTCTGACATGATGTGGTTGCAGACATAGATAGGGCAGAAAATGCTGGACTCTGGCGAAATTAAATGAGAAAGCATACAAAATATCCTCAACTTTGAGTTACTGTTACTGGGTGGGGGGGAAATAGGTTTGAGAAATTTTTTGGTATAGTTCAAATCAGATGTTATGGTTTGGTCTTTCTTCTAAATTATAATTGTCAATTCCATTATCCCAGCAGCAGTTCATGATACAGCTCCTCCACCTTGCCTATCTTTGCTGTACCATCCTATAGTCAGGAAAATTAGAACATTTGTGTGAATTTAAATATACATAGTATGAATTTAAGCTCAGAAGAGGCGAGTAAAGTAGAACTGCAGTTGCAATGGATTTTGCTTGCAGCTGAGAGGGGATAAATGCTTTGTGTAATAACTTTGAAATTTTTTAGCAGAGCAGAACTATCAGGAAGGCCTGTACTTTAGCACTTAATGTTTTCTTGTGCCTTTTGTCTAATCATAACTGCTACTGCTGACACTGCCTATTTGAGGCAGAATAATCTTTCCATTCTAGGGTAGATGGCAGGGGAGAGATATAGTTTTACCATTTATTGTTGTCTTGTACAATACCAAAGATGCTATATAAGTGTAAAATTGAATGGAGACAACATTTTCTTTGTGTTCTGATGCCTTTTTGAGCTTTATGTTGCCACCTCATATTTACTGATAGTATTTAAGGCAGTAGGTGTTTTTGTTAACTAATTCCTTTGTACTTACATTCTCATATTTTAAAATATTTGGCTTGTCTTCTGTACAAGTGATTTTACTGAAACTATTTTGTCATATTTATCTTTAATATTTTATCTTTTTCTGCATAATTCTTGTGCTTTTCTTTTTTTTAAATGATTTTTAGGAAAACCAAATGGTCTTCTAGTAAATAACTGTGGTTTTAAACCTATTAGTTCAGATTTCTATTCCTAAAAAGAAGTAGAAATTACACTCTGACTGTTGAACCCTGTTTTCTCTGTGAGCTCCTAAAAAATAAAATAAAATAAACATTGAGTTGATGTCAGAACCATATGCTTATGGTATATATATCATATAAAAATCTTTGATCTCCTGAAGTACAGATCAGGAATAATTCCAGTGAAAACAACTAGATTAAATCTATATGTAACTGTTATGAAGTGAACACAATTAGACCACAGATAAATGAAAATGCAGAAGGCAATGCAGACACTGTGGAGGTTGCTTTTTTTGAAAGTTCAGAGCAAATTTTGAACATTGAGGATTATTTAAGAAAAGTCACCTGTAGGTATTGCAGTTCAGTCTACGAGGTTCCCACTGTAGCCACTGGAAAATACCGTCTGTGAACATACACGTGGTTAGATTTATGTTTCGTATTAGAAAATACAGAGAACTGCTGCAATAAATTAGGCAGGTTTACAAAGCTCTCATGTTGCCAGTGGAAAGTATGTTCCTTTTTCCTTTCTTCATCAACAGAGTCTTCAGGATCTGACAAATTTTGTTATGAAAAGCTTAATACAGAAGGCACAAAAAAAGGAAACTGTGGAAAGGATGGAGACCGATGGATTCAGTGTAGCAAACAGTAAGTTCATCTTGGTAGAGATTATTTGTATTTTAAATAGATTAATACTGATTTCATATTGTCTACTTTTTCATGACTGTTTCAGCAGTTTGTTTTGCATTATTTTGTATCTTCTGTCCCTTACAAGGTTTTTGCATCTTGAAAAAGTTCCATTCTGACAAATCCATGGGTGACTCAGCAATACACTTGTAAACCATTCCAGATTTTCAGAAGAATGTACTGTGACTTTAATTCCTTCAGAGGAGATGGGGGACAAGGCGGCAAAAAGTCCTAAGTTCATAATGTACAAACACCTCAGCCTTGGTAGGGATAAATTAGGCTGCAAATACACACGCTATTTTCACTTGCTCTGGGATTGATACCAGATTATGCTATTTCAAGTTTGTTCCAACCTGTATTTTGACCAGCGAGAGCCATTAGACATTTGGATGCTATAGAGAAAATGGCTGATTCATTTGCATGTGATCATTACTTGATGGATATTTATTTAGATTTACTTTTCAAGGTAATGATCATTAGTGGATAGATTTAAATTTCTCCTGATTTACTTACTGTTTTGTAATTTTTAAGTACACATGTAAAAATTCCAGTCTCATAATGGTGTTTTCCTTCTTTGACTTTTTAATGTCTGTCAAGTGGCTTCTTCCTCTTCCTCAGGATTATAAGGAAAGGAGTTGTTTAATGGATTTTGTTATATTTAGATGAGAATAGTGTTGTTCTGATATGTTTAGTAAATACCTCATTTGTATAAAAGCTTTTCTTGGTCAACAGAGAGATGCAGAAAAATAGTCTAGCTAAGGGGGCCGTTTACATTTTTTTCAATTTTAACAAATACAATTTCCAGCATTCATCCAGCTGCTTCTATGACCTCAGACAATTAGAGTGGGAGATGGAAGTTTTAAGCTGATATCCGTCTATTGAAGATTGCACATATAAAACAACATCAAATAAAGCAGATTCTTTACAAAAATTCAGGCATACACACTGCATGCTGTTATTGTTATTATGGTTCTGTTGTCCTGCAAGGGAAATAAAATTCAATTAAAAATTAAAACTTCTCATTAAAGTATGGCACTGAAGCTGCTGGAGAGAGGGAAACGTAATTTAGCCTGACATGACAGAGCTTTGTACAATTTGGCTCCTCTTATTTTAACTGTATTGTATTTAGAGCACAGACAAATTTTTTTGTTCATGTGAACAATCACTCCTGTATTAGAATGAACAACTACTTGTTTCTGCCTCTTGTTATTTATATCAAATAACGTTTTATTTCCAGACTTGTACTATGAAAGTCTATCATGTGGCTTATGGTAATATATTACTTAATGTGATCAGCAGCATCATTGCTAGTCTTTCTTTTTTGTAAGTTTACCTAATATTATTCCAGTAACTTTTTGATTTATGTTTTCATTTTACAGTGATGTTTTCTGTGGCTTTTTGCTGTGTACGAATCTTACTAAAGTTCCACGAGTTGGTCAAGTTCAAGGAGAAATTATCCCAAATTCTTTTTATCACCAAGGACGAATAGTGGACTGCAGGTAAAAGATAATGCGGTGTTCCAACATGATTTTTCTCTGTCAAACCTAATTGAACTAAGATAAACATAAATGTAATATTCTATGATTTTTAGGTAATTGATATCTTACAGTGAAATCATTATTCCGAGTGGTATTTCTTTTTATTTAAAAAAAAAAAAAAAAGCCTAATATTCCACATGTAAAGAGGGCAAAATTTGGGTCATCTTCCTAATTATTCTGTCTGATCCCTCCAGTAGCAGAATTTCACAGTCACAGTTTAATGCTCAGCATTCTGTTTCTCCGGGGAGGAAAAAATAGTCTGTAATTGCCAAAGACCCGTATGTTAAACATAATGTCTTTGAATATTATATCCTCACAGAAACAGCTGTAGGGATGTGAAGACTAAGAAGGAGGAAACTGAAGAGTTGTGGCAGGATAAGATGTTAAGCTACAGTTCAGTTAAAGGGCAGATAAATGGGTTTTAGTCTACTGTGGACAATACTGAATTTGTATTTTAAAGACATTGGCAACATTGCTGTCATGCTAAGAATACTGTGTTACATAATTAGGTTCTGAGTGAACAATGATTCTTAACTCTTCTATTATTCCACTAGTATTTTTATTTAAATGTCATCACATGGGAACTTAGTTTTTTCACATTTTTCTAGCGATAGTATTTCACAGAATTTTTTGGGGGGAGGAGGGGGAAAAATAAAAAGATAAAAAAGCACAGCCCATCAAAGACTATTAAAAAACCCCAGAAGCCTAAGGTGCCCTTTTTGAGTATTCAAGTCATTATCTAGACTTCTTTTTAGTCTGACAACTGGAACACCTTGTCAATGCTGTGGACAGACAGAAAAACTTCATAATTTTATTCAATCTGTCTGTCTGCTTGAATGAGAGAAAGGTAGGAGGCTTTAATATCTACACTGACACGTTTAATATTTTCAAAAGACTCCAGTCATAATACTAATAGTATCTTAAAACTTGTTTCTCCTAGTGGTGCTCATGTTCTTTTAGATGATGATACAGATTTAGGTTATGTGGAGGATGGAGCTCCATGTGGACCTCACATGATGTGTCTGGACAAAAAGTGCCTGCCAATTCAGTCCTTGAACATAAGCAGCTGTCCCATCGGTTCTAATGGAAAAGTCTGTTCCGGCCATGGGGTGAGTCTGCACTGGGAGTCAGCAGCTAAGCTTCTCCAGCTGTCTCTGCTATATCTGGTCTTAGCGTACCTGTGGGGTTCTGCACCTGAAAGAGTTCCTAACATCTGTTGATCTGAAAACACAAATGTTAGACTGGGGGAAGACTGCCATTCTGTGAAGCATAGATAAACTTTGAGAAAGCAAAATTGTCTAATTAGTTCTGCAATTATATCCAAAGTGTTGTTTTTGTTACTAGCAAAAAAGAGCTTTGACATCAGTTACTGTAAAGACTTCTGTAATGTAGTACCCATATTTCAAGCCACTTGCTATCTTCAGTTTAACTTTTTCCTGCATACTAACACCTTTATAAAGTTGGTCCTGTGTTCATGGATTTATACCTCATCACTTAAATAATTAAAATTCTAAACTGTTGGACCTCAACAGAGATGATATATTCTCGAGCAGATGCAAAGAAGTGTATCATTTTACATTTAGAGACATTATATGCTGTTACTTTACCTGTAAGTCCATTTGTCTAAGACATTAGGTGTGTTTTGATGAAGAAGTTGACTGTTCCGTGTCTTAACTGTAATACTGATAAAAGCTTTCCAGTGATTCAGTGGACAGGTAGTTGCCTATGGGGCTAGACTTTACACAATAAGGTGGGTTTTTTTCTTATTATTTTGTGTAATTGAAGATGAATTTGAGTGCTTCAAAGAAGAGGGTTAGGTTCAAAATCAAGAAGAAAAATTTTAAAATTGTAAAGTAAAGAGTCTAGGAGATCGTGAAATCATCTTAGTACTTTTGGAGAGTGGCATGAGTGGTGAGAGAACTGTTACCTTTTTTGGTTTGCTTTGGATTATTCTAATTAATAATTATAAAAGAATACTTCAGCTGATCATACCTGCCATAAGATGTATTTATCCTCAGCTATGTAGATAAGATTTTTTCAGTGCATAGTTTAAGAAGCAGAGTCAGATAAAGTGAAATTTAAAAAATTACATGTAGTACTTACATGTAATCCTTAGTGTGCAGATTATTTTCTGGCTTTTTTGACATTATGTTCGGTGTCCAAAAGACATTATTAGGGGACGCCTAAGGACTGACTTCACTTCTAGTTCCATAATCAAAACTTCATTCTTTGTTTTGTGTCTGTTTTTCATGTCATGCTTTTCCTTAGTAATCTCTTATAGCAACACATGCCATGTTCTTTTTCATATGGAAAGTTTATAGCTATTAACTCTTACTATTGATTTGGTATTTTAGATTTCATCAGTTGGATAGGTTTTTCTGCATCAGATAAATGTATGCCAATTCTAGTGAGTCCTAAGTTTTTTTTTTTAGAGGTCATTCTCAAATGTAGACTTAGGAAGAACTGTCTCCTCTCTTTCTAGAAGGTAAGCAAGCACTCCTCATTGCTGCTTAGGAAAAAAAGCTGACAAAACCAGTTAAAAATCTTACTATTTTTTCTACATGGGAGCAAGTTGTAAATTAGAAGTTATAAAGCATAACCTTGTCTTGAGCCTCTGAAATGCAAATGCTTGTATTCCTTCTGGACATCCAAGCTCAAAGTCTAGATAGTTGGTTAGTGAAGATCTAACTAGTCTAGATGGGGGGTTTTTTGGATGAGAATTTCTATTATTTTTTTACATCCTATACAGGTGTGTAGTGCAAGTGATGATGGAACCACTGGGAACACTTCTGCTTTTCCTAGCATCTGAGTGTATTTAGAGGATTAAAGCAAACTTTCAGGTTATTGATGTATTATACTAATTCTAAACACTCAGTGCTATTGTTACAATATATAAATGGATAAGTTTTATACTGTGGATTAAATACCTAATTACATATTAAATAAACGTAATAAAATATAGTAAAAAAACCAGCTGCTGTAATTTATTTTCTTTTCCAGGTTTGTAGTAATGAGGCCACTTGCATTTGTAATTTCTCCTGGGCTGGGACAGACTGCAGTATTGATGATCCTATCAGGGATACTGGTGGCAAGAAGGATGAAGGACCCAAGGGTTTGTGTGATTTCAGTTTTGATATTCTTTCAAGTATTTATGACATTTTTCTGTTGATATGTGGTAGTAGAATTAGCATATAGAAAGAGAATAATATTATTGTACAGTCTTGTTTAGACCCAGATAGTAAAATTCTGCTTTGTGTAGATGAAGTAAGTCTTTCTGCTTTGAGAATTGATCAAACTTTTATTTTTCTAACCTACATTTAGGGAAGATTTCAATAGGTAATGGTGTATACTTTCTGTTTTTTCCTTTGTCAATTATTCTCTATTTCTTGTTATCATTTTCTTTGTGATTGGAATCTTAAGCGTAGCTCTTATTATTTATATGATAAATGAGTATTTATGTTTTGCTAGAGATTTCCAGTTCCCTTAGTTGTTCTCAGCTAATTCAGAGAGCTGTGGCATAAAAAAGGGAAAAAGTGGAATGCCCCTGGCAAAAAAAAAAGTTTTTGTTCCTTGAAATCACATTTCAGTGGGAGGAAAAAGAAATAAACTAAGATTTTAAGGATGTAAATTATTGTTATGATCAGTATTGCTTACTTGTAAATTATTCTTATGATCAATATTGCTTACTCTTATGTATTTAGTAGGTATTTCAACTGCATATGAAGTATAAATACGAAATGGAGCTACTGAGGAAATAATCAAAAAAGTTTTTCAAATAGGAGGAGAAGCACTTGAGATTCTCTCAGACTTCTTTGCCAAATAATGTTTTTGGATCGTGCTCCAATTGTGTTCCAGTTTTTTTATGTCTTTCCTGTCATCAGGACATTGTCCAACATCAGACTATATTTATCCAGTGTTATGCATTTACAGATAAAGTTCCCCATAAAAAACTGAGAAACCCAAACAATTTTCTTCTGCCATGTCCCAGTCCCAGGTTCTTCTGTCCCTTATACAAGGCCAGTGGAAAGAAGATGGAGTTGTTAAAAAATGTAGTCCTTAGAGCTCAGGCTGTAATTGATTACTGTTTAAATTATCCAAGGTTTCAGGGGAGGACAGGATTTTGGTATGTCCCTCCAGAATGGCTTTACTTCTGTCTTGTGTGCCTTATTCTTTTGCCCCTTAGCAGAACGGTTCCAGTAGGCCTTTGCCAAGAACTGTTGAAGAAATCGTCTTAAAACAAGTTTCTGCTGTGACGGAGGCTCTCTAGAACAGCTCAGATTTGTATTAGGGAATCTGTGCAGGTGCTTCCTGGACTCCTAACCCCGCCACTGTTCAGTGTAGAGCTCCCTGGTTTGTACCCTGCCTTACAAAGCTGCTTGTCATTCCATTTCCCATAAAAACCTTCCTAACTGTGGAACGCTGCTTACAGTCTTAAAAAAAATAGTGGAGCACAGCACTATAGAGCTGGTTACTCCTCTGTGTGTGGATGAGAAGAGCAGCATTGGCAGTTGTGATGCTAAGAAGAGTACATGAATTTTATATTGCTCATTTCCAAATCCTGTAGGTAAGAAATAATTCCCTTCTCTGTTAAAAAGGTCTATAGGAAAGGCAACACAGAAAATATGCTTATCTTGGTTAGATTTTTGTAATTCAGATTAACTCATCTAATTCTGAATGTAAATACCTTTGTGAAAATTAATATGTCAATGCTGAAATATTCTGGGAAAAAGTTTTGGATGAATAGCATGTGTGTGGATTTCTGCCAGTAGGTACAGACATGCAGTTCAGACTGCGTTTTTCAGTGGAGTCCTCTGCAAGAAGGCAGGATATGTTTTTGTACAAGACGACTCAATGAGATTAATTTTACTTACGTTGTTATAGTAATATACTGATGTTAAATAACCTAGCAATTAATTTGGGAGCCTGAACGCTGACAGCTACTGTAATCTCTTTTGGTGTCTAATAGAGGAATTCCTTTGTGAGAAGATGTCAGAAAAAATACAAAAGTAGTTTTCTGTATTGTAAAGATCCAATGTGCTAAAGTAGTTTCCATTAAGTTTTTCCTCTTATTACCAGTGCTTTCTCTGTCATGTGCCAGTTTACAAGTCTGAGACAGAAACCAAAATACTTGTTTTTCCTTAGCCCTAAATTTGAGTTTTGTTACATTTCAGAAAGAGAACACTCATTATGTGAAAATTCACCTAATAGCTTTAAGATTTTTCACACCATAAACCCAAGCATTTTTCTTACAGCAATTAGAGCATGTATATCTAGGAAGAATTGCTATTTATTTATATATTATTATGATAATTGACAATTGACTTTTCCTCCTGCTGCACTTTTCAGACCTTTCCATCATCCGTCAGTTGCTTTTGGCTCCATACTGTATTTCAGGATTTAAAAAATTAGTGGTCCTTAATTATGTTGGTTTTAATACATGAGTCTTGAATTACTCTAAACTCAGCAATGTACTGTATCCTGTTCTAGCAGACCTACACATCATGCTAGTAGTTTTGGAGAAGACAAGAGTTCTTGCTGTTAGTTTTTGGCTACTGCAGAAACTTCTGATTACTTTAGAGAGTTGACTAGTAGTTTTGAAATCAGTAGGACTCCATATGCACACAAGATTCTTCCTTTGCAATTTTATTTGCAGAATTAGGCCTTTGTTTGACTAGTGGAATAGTGTTTGTTTGTTTTTTTAATATAAAACTTATGTCTCAAGTGTGTGTGTGTGTGTTTGTGTATATTTATGAAACAGGAAAAGAATTACAAAACCATATCAAAACAGACTTTATTCAACATGAAGACTATAAAGGTTTTGTCCCTTGGATAAGTTCCCATTAGACAGGGAATTCAGCTGCTTGCTTGTGGTCTGTTATGACTCAATAAATCTATCAAGCTTTTAATCTTCAGCATTGGAAACGTATAGATGTTTTTGCTCAGAAGAGTTCCCTTAAAAAAATGAAAAATAAGGCCTTAAGAGAGACTATGTGACCATATTGAAATTTCCAGGGTGTTACCTGAAGCACATTTCTAGGGTAGGTTTTTCCTTTTAAAAGGTGTTACCTGTCTTTAGGTCATAGAAACATAGAATCGTTTCACTTGGAAAAAACCTTTAAGATCATAGAGTCCAACCGTAAAGATCATATAGAAAAACAGAGTCCTATTGGTAAATGCAGTAACAAAGGAAAATATTACTAACTCGTAAAGGAATGAATTAAAAAGTTGTTTTTTTTTTCTTTTCCTGCAATGGAACTGTTTCCAAACAGTTTTAATTTGCTCAGTTATATTATGGATACAGTAAGTTTCTGGTGATCAAAAGGAAGTTTTCTTATTGGTGATTTATTTACATTTTGTCTGTTTTAAATAAGCAGCAGGTTGAGGATGTTCCCTTTTTAAGTAAATAATAGAATCACAAGCTAAAAGGAACAGTTTTGCATTTACAGGAAAACTTCTTACTGAAATATCTGCAGACATTCAAAGGAAATCAAATACAGCTCATTTCAGACTTTTTAAACCTACAGTATTTAGTAAATAAAGTTTTGTTCGGAGGCTTGAATTGTTTATCTGACAATGAGTTATAGACTAAAATATTCCTTTGAGGAATTACTTCATTTTTTCATTTCAGACATATATGTGATCATTTCCTTAAAAAATCTTCCCTTTTCCCTCCACACAGTGAGCATGGCCACTAACAGGCTGATAGGTGCAGTGGCAGGGACCATTCTGGCCTTGGGGGTGATTTTTGGAGGCACAGGGTGGGGAATAGAGTAAGCATTTTTCTTAGTCTGAGTTTTATGTTTGGTGCCTAGTGTGTGAGGTAACCGTATGCACCCGAGCCCTCTGTGTATTACCCCGTTAGCTTTGTCATGTGGTGACCGTATTTGTCATGTGATTTGACTGTGTCTGTGTCATGTGGTTTGCTCATGCAGTGTTGAACCTTCTCCTGTCTGGGATAATGTGGGGCATAAAACAATCAGTTTGTGAATTTTTACATTGTCACAGTAAAATGAAATGTCTAAATGTTTCCATTACTCCAAATTTTACAAATAATGGGGGAAAATGAAAGTTGGGGATTATCTTGCAAAACAGACTGAGTAATGTGGACTATTCCATAAAATGCAGAAATTGTTTATTACAATCTATGGGGCTTTCAGTCTAATACTAGGTCACACCATCTAGCTAGGAAGATGAAAGCTGATGATCATAGTATAGAACTTCTGAATGTTCCATGGCTAGGATTCAGTTATCTCAAGGCAGTAGAGTGCTGAAGTATATAATTAATATATAAAGAATATGTAGGCGCAAGTTTTTATCGTCTTTTCATAGTTTTAGGAAACTAATCTTAAGTGTTAGCCTACTACCTCGTTGTTAACAGTGGCTATTTGATTTATATATATATATATATATATATATGCGCGTGTGTGTATATGTATATGTACACATATAAAAATGCCCATTTAAGAACTCTCTTCATTCTGCATTCACTGTGCAAACTACAGAATAAGTTGCTGTTATTCTGCTCTTCTGAGATTTCCATCTTCACTGTGTTTCTAATACTACGTATTACCACTGTCGTGTGGCAGTGGCATCTGTCTGAAGGGGGAATCATAACAGGACAGTTTGTGATTTCCCATCAGGCTGTGTGAAAAAGCATTCACAGACAGTTCTAGTTAAGGCTGCATAGGCAGCCTTCTGGTAGGCAGCATTTTGTGCATCTGAGTTTTCAGCCCTAGATACAACCTTTTTAGCTTTTGCTGAACTGGACTGTTACATGAAACTCATCTTAGATTCTCAGAAGAGACCTTTGAACTCACAGGACAACTAATAGGAAAACAAATAGAAGGAAGCAGGTAATAGGTCATCTATTTGAGAAAGATCAGCTCTGTGTTTTACTGGTGGCTTTTACAGCTGTTTGCTAAAAACTGAAGACTGTAGAGGTCTGGAACCCAGATTCTGGAACAGAATATTTATTTACCTACAGGTTGAGGACCATTTGCTCACATTCTGCCTTGTACCCATCTGTTTTTATCTTCCTTTACCTACTGTCTCAATCTACTCAGCTATGACCACTGTCCCTGACCATTTGTTCTTGCTCCTGTATCCTTCTGCTCTAATTCAAACTTTTCTTCATCTTTCCTCTGCTCTTATCACTCGCTGACTTATTCTTCTTTTGGTTTCGATCCATTCGTCTTTCCAGGATCCCATCAGTCTTTTCTCTGTCCTCTGGTTCCTTCACATACAAACATACATTCAAGGCAAGCCACTGCTACTTTTTGTTGCTTAGTTTAAAGAAAGCACATGGGGAACACAAATGCCCTCTCCTTTCCTAATGCCCTTCAGGCCCTGGTGGCTGTTGCCATCAGTGACTGCAGGGGAGGCTGTTCATGATGATGAAGACTTAGGAAATAGTCTGAAGAAGTCTACTGAAATTAAAGGTGTGTTCTGTTTTAACATCTTCAGTAGGATTTGTATCAGGGTCCTAAAAGATGGCTAAGATGATACGATAGCCGTGCCAAAGCAGATAGTGCCTTGCAGGAAAGGGTGGCAGGCCAGGCAGTTACTGTGCAGGTACTTACAGGAGCTTCCTCCTGATAAATCTGTGTCTGCAGGTTACAGCAGTACTGCGGCAGAGAGAACACGTACACCAGAAGTGTTGCATCTTGTGATAGTCTGGATGGAAAATGACCTCACAGCGTGGTGGCTGTTAAAACCTTCCTCATACTTTCAGTCTGTGTGTATTTATGTGAAGCGTTTTTGAGTCCAGTGACTAGAGAAGCTTATTTAGCTGAAACATGTTGATTTATACTTTCCTTTGTAAATGTCACTAACTAAAATGAGCTGATGTAAAGTGGGCTTCATACTGGTAGCAAAATTCTGATTTATTAATAATGCTTAATAAAACATAAGGCATACATCTTTACGGTAATGCATGACATGTAAAAGTAGTCCCATTGTAAGTACTTCTATGTGCACAGTCTGTTACGGTCTTAAAATGGCTTACCAGTAATCCTCTTAAATCTCTGTATTCTGAAACTGGAATTCATTAATTGGAGGATTCTGTTCTGGTAAACAAGTGGTTGCTGTTTAGGAATCATAAGTATTCCACCAGCTTTGTTTTTACATTGAAGTCAGAAATGAGATCATAGTCTTGTTGATTATCAGTGAAATTTTACCTTGAATGTAGCTTTTTCAGTGTCTTTACTAGGAAAAACAGCTGTTTCTCTGCATTCCTAGGAGCTGCCACTCCCAGCACACTGTCAAACAGTTTTAGAATTATACTCGAGGAATGGCCATGTCTATTCACAGCCATCTATCCCTTTCTCTCCTCTTAGTCTCTCTCTCCAGCAGATAACTAATTCTCATAGGCATTTTCTTTTCAGAGGGGTTTTTTTGTGTTAAAAATGAACATCACTTCTTTAGTCACTGATGCTTTCTTAAATGGGGTCAGGTTTGAAAAGTGTTTCTATCAGGACCCATTTATTATTTAACATAATTTTAGTAACTTTTCTATTAATGGAACCTAATTGTTTTGTATATGATTCTCTTCTGTTTCAATTTTTATTGAATTCTTCCATATTGATAGTAAATAAGCCCAATACTGATCTCCTGTATTGAAAGAATACAGAACTGCTGCTTGTTGAATGGATGTGCACTATGAAATAGATTTTTTTTTTTTTCTTTTTTTTACCAAACATTTAACAACCAGGGAACATAGTAAGAAGAGGGATGCAGAAAAGTGGTCATTTGGTACTTTCTTATCTGAGTTATGACTATATTACTATCAGTTAATCATTGTACCTCTTTTGTGGGAGGGTAGCATGCTATGGCTAGAAAGAAATCAGCTTTAGCATTTTTCAAGGCTTCTAAAATTTATTACAGGTAAACTATGTGCTGCATTTTCAGTCTTTTTTTGTGTGCAATCATTTGATAAAATCCAGAGTGAGCCACAGAGCTGAGTCAGATAGAGTAACTCATTAGGCTCCTATTAATAGCAAGCCTTAATTGGGAATGACATTAATTTACCTTCCACCATGCTCACTCCTGTTCTTTTGAGCCAGGTGTGACTTTAAAGGTAAGTCCAAATAAGTTATGTTCTTCCAAATTGTGAAAAATTTCCTTTTAATCATTGTTACATTTGTGCACTACTCATATCTGTAAAGTCTAAGTCCTTCATTAATACTCCTGACTACTCTTTGTGTAGGAATAGCAGGAAGCACTTTTTAAAGCTTGGTTTTCTTTTAGCTAATCTGATCTCCAAAAGTACTGATGTGGGAAACTTGTAATGGATTCAGTGAAGTTAGGTCGCTGCAGTACATTTTAAAACTTAGGGCACGTACTTATTGCAGTGTCTGGGACTTGGCAGAAGGTTTTTTGATACCAACCTAACAGCTTAAACTTTCAGTTGTTGCAGCTGCCCTTGCTCTTTCCTTTGCTGATCTCTGGCTGCTCCTGTTTCTTCCTAATGTTAGGGATCTGACAGTTTTCCAAACTCAGTTTCAGAACATTTACACTAGGAAAATATCAGTTGCTGTGTAGAAGTGTTGGTTTGGGGAGACTGGAATAGGAGGTAAGAACTGTTTTTGAAGGCTGTTCCTAGATATGTAAATGTTTAAGCAAAAAGGATGCAATATGCTGTAAAAGAACTGTTGGGTTGGTTTCATTTTGCCTTGAGCTCAGATGCAATTGGCTTTACATCAAAGGCTGCACAGTAGGAAATTTTTGTACAGAGCAATTAAAATGTTACTCAAGCCCACTGTCAGTTTTCCTCCATCCTGTGTAAATAGAGCACTTCAGGGTCAGTTTTGACTATCTTACTTAGGTGTTCTCCAGGCCTCTTCAGAAAATTGCACAAACATATTTTGTGCTGCTTCTTTTTGTTGCTCTTTTTTCCTGCTCCACCCTTGCCCACTTTGTTGTTAAGTAGCTTCTTCAGGATGATGAAGAGATGCTTTGATGTTTGGAAAGCTTAATGGGAATACAGCTTTTATTTCAATTTTTATTCCTTATTATATAGTCATTTGCTTTTGTCAAACAATTGTAAATTTAGCTTTGACGTAACTGTAGGGAGTCTAGACTCTGCTAGATGCTGTCAGCTCAAATTAAAATACCTACCACCTTTCAGGTTGTCCATGAAAAAAGTTGGGCTTTTTGATTTTTCTTTTACTTCTCATTTGCTGTAGTCGTAAAGCATACTATACTTCTTCCTTTAAGTTAAGGAATTATTCACAAATATCTTAGTGTCCTCAGCTGTCAGTTCATTCACCAGATAATGGAGTAAGTCACAATGGAATTTACTGTCTAATACTAGATTTTTATCTATGGTAAAAGTCAACATAGCACAATGCAGAGACCAAACAGCTTTGTTCATTCTTACTGTTAAAGAAAAGTAAGTTGAGCTTGCTGAAATTGTCTAGAGACATCACCTTGTGTGCTGTCTATAGTCCTTCAACTGTTTGACAGCCCTTAGTTGCTTCACTTAATGTGAATAAAGTGGTTGGTTCTTATGTCTGTCTTACCATAATCCTTTATCACAGGTCCTAGTGCCACCAATCTTATAATAGGCTCCATCGCTGGTGCCATCCTGGTAGCAGCTATTGTCCTTGGGGGGACAGGATGGGGCTTTAAGTAAGCAATGCCGCATGTCTTCTCTTCAGTGGCTATGGCGTTTCTATTTCTTGCTTACATCACTAAATTTTGAGTTCCTGCTACAAGATTTCCAAGGTAACTCCCCGCTCCCCTGCTCAAACTATACCAAACTGCTTTAAAGAGAAAGAACTATGCGTGCACCGAACAAGAGGAGGAAATTGATTTGAAACTAGCAGATGTCATCAGAATGCAAAGTTGAAGAACATTAACAGAATGACTTTAATGTCCTGAGTTCACCCCGACACTTAGGGAACAACATTTCTTTTTCACTTCCAATTTGTAGCATTGTTCTCAGAAGTTGACTACAATGGTTAAGAACCCCAGAAGAGACATGTCTTGAGGACTGTTTATTTTGAATGCAGTAGTCCTCTGAAACTGATAAACTTTTTTAGAATTAAAGACTTCATGGGTGAGTGGTGGCAATAGCTGAGTAGTTTTCAGTAACAAATGTGTTGAGACAGTTGACTCGGAAGTACCAGAGCTAACATTTGTTTGTGGTTACTGATTTTTTAAAAGATTATCAATTAACATTTGTTTTAAAAAAATCAGGTTTAGAGAGAATGTTTTGAAATCCTAAAAGATGAAAACATTTCTCACCCAGTTCTAGTTCAATGCATTTTATAACTGTGAGCATACTAGTCATTCTGCTTGGGACTGTTAAAGCAAAGAGAGTCTTGTACAAAGGTATTTAATTCTTGTCTTTTTTTGTAGTGTCAAGTCTACCTACATGCATGGTACACCAGTAAGCCATAATTCCTCAATAAGGTTTTTATAATAATTCAATAATATTTTATATGGCCTATATTCATATTCCATGCCTGAATTGAGTAGAAAAATAAAACTTACTCCCTAATTGATTGAGAAGGCTATCAAATAGAATACAGTGATCGGGTTGTATTTGTCTGTTTGTTTACTTCTGGTTTAGACTGTTATATTTTCATAGTGTCGGTGGCCTTCATAACACATGCATATAGAAGCAAAATATTTCTACATCTCTTTCAGCCCTGCTGAAAACAGACAACAGACTTTGCCCTTCCTTCTGGACAAGGCAGTTATTCCTTCCTGTTGCCCTGCCAGACACTCTCAGTGTTTTCAGAAGGACCCAGTGCCTGCCACATTCATTTTCCCTAAACACTTGTTGAGCTTCTAAGGGAAGTGACACTTCCTGTGCTTCCCCTTGACACTGGCAAGAGCTGCAGAGCTGCCTGCATCAGCTGCAGTAGTCACTGCTCCTCATTTGCTTCAGTAAGAACAGATTAAATACAAAATGTATCAAAACATCCAGCTTTAAGCATGGGTGTGTGATCTCCATAAGCCTTTTTAATTCCTGCTCATAGACTTAATTTGAGCTGCTGTATTTTTTTTCCTTACAGCTTCTTCTCAGTTAACCTAAATCCACTTACGGGTACAATACATGCCCCTAGGTCAGCCTACAGTATTTGTAAGTTACTACAGGGCAGCTCTTAATGTAGTTTTAATTTAGTCCTGTATCTTTTGCATTGTGTCTTATATGGCTGAAATTTCTATTTTTTATATTTAGAAACAGTAATTTAGTATCTATGCATTTTTTATTTGCTATGTTTCATCAGATCTGTGTTCAAAGGCAGAAATTCAAATGAGGTGTGTATTTTAGAATAGGCAGTGACAGACATGGATTGGCATGTGGTGTTAACACAAGAAGGAACTGGGATTCTTCTCATCCGATGGATTTAAAGTTTTCTTTTGTGTAAAGGAGACCTTGCCTGGAAATAATGCTTTTTTACAGACTGTAATACTTGGGACATATTCTATAGCATTAACTAATACACTTACATTTTTTCTACTGTATTCTACAAGATGCAGAGTTATAGGAGAGAGGTGTCTTTTAACGTAAATAAAGCACATAAACAATACATAAAGTTTTCAGTTACTTGCAGAAGTGAGGGGTTTTTTCCCCTGCTCTTCACTGCAATTAGCTTTTTAAATAAATACAGCCAAATTTTCTGCAAGGCTTGTGTTAACCTTTCTGTTAAAAGTTTTGATTTATTAAGAACAGCAATGTGCACACATTTAAAGCAGTAACACTGATATTGCAAGTTCCCATGGGAATTAACCAAGCTAGATTTTGCTGGAAAAAATAAATGTCAGATTATATTTTTGGACCAGTTTTCTGCTATCAGAGACATATGTCCGTTACTTAGCAGCTCACATACTTTGCAGGCACTGAGTACTCCTCCCTAAATAATACATTTGTATTGCAGAAGGTAATTTGTTGAAAAGGCAGTGCATGTCATTAAAATATAAACACTTCAGTTAGTTTCTTCCTCTGAATCTTTTTAAGCTGTCCTGTGCCATAACAACCTTTGCTCTTTTACACCAGTGCCTGCAGCACCTGCTAGCAGCTGTGCCAGCAGTGTGGCTGCTCTCTGGGGCCACCTATGCTGGAGAACTTGCTTGAACACAGATCTTTAGAAGACTCCCTCCCTGTCTGTAACAATGCAGAATTTATTGTTTATTCCTTCTTTGTGTTCCACAGCTCTCAAACTACTCTCACAAGTGTTCAGCTTTGCATCCTGATGTCATTTGTTTGCCCAAATGTAGAAGCTTGTTACCCCTATAGAGGATCTGTATTGGAAAGGTCTCTTGTAGCCTTTACTCTCCATAGAGTAAGATACAAATGTTTATTCTGTAGCAGAACCTCAAATACACTGGCCTGGCCTAGCTCACAGCTTGAAGTGCATGTTTCTTTGGGGATCAGAGGGGAACCGAAAAGGCTTTTCAGCTTGCATACAAAAGAGGGCTAGCACATGTAGACCCTCTGCTACTTTGCTTCAGATATACCTGGAGGGACAGATGAGGCTAATAAAGAGGATTTAAAGTTCTCCTTTTTAAGCAAGTGATATGTTTAGTCTCTGCAAATATGAGAGAAGGTAGCTAATGCTTTACAAACTGGGAGATGTGATTTCTGTTTCACAGGTTATCAGATGTTCATATGAACATACGGTACTGTGGTGTCAAGTCCATATCAAACGTAAGCTGCAACTAAGCAAACTTTGTTCATGAACTGAGGTGGTGAGGGGTGGGGGTTGGAGGGGAAATGTAAAAGAAGGCTTGATGCAACTTTGAAGAAACAAAGTAAAAAAAAAACAAAAACAAAATCAACCAAACAACCTTCCAGTTTCCAGAATGAATCCTAGGTTAATTTTTCTAATCAAGTTTATGTGTGAATAGAATAAGAAAGAAAAAAGTTAACTGACAATTTTAGAGGGGATAGAGCCTCACTACGTATTTCAGGTGGCTTAGAGTTAAAGGCTGCAGGTGGAAACCTGAAGTAGATTTTACTTCAGTTGAGCCTTGCATAGTACTTTTAAAGCTGTTGGTGTTTAGACTGCATTAAGAATCCTACATATTTCTGCCTGAACTCTGCTGGGTAATAACAGAGGTACAGCATTCGTGAAATGTGAAGTGCATTTTGATGTAGCAAGTCCGTGCAAGATTTCAATACGCAGTGTTTAATATAGGACCATTACAGGAAGGACATTTTTACCAGTAGAGGAGCTCTGTGCATTGGCTGCAATTGCAGTCTCAGGGGCTAAGGCTTTTTTTTTTTCCTAGCATATATTCACTTACTTTTGCAAAGCTACTGCAGTAATATAAGCCAATTAAATACTTTTGTTGCTGACTTCAAACAGCCATTTTTGCTAATAAAGCAACACCGCTAAGAGGCAGTGCTAGTAATAGTAGTGTGGAAATGCATATGAAAAGCTGCGTTTTGTTATATCAGAATGCAAAAGTGGCTGCCAGAGAAGAGTTGAGTGTAGGCACAATTCTATTTCAAGCAATTGTTTCTTAACTGAAGAGCTGCTGTTTTTTCTGCCCCTTTAATGGAAGATCAGTGGATGGACCAATGATCAATGGATGGACCCTGTCCTTACAGGTGCCAAGTTTTTAACTGGTCTGTGCAGATGCATTTAGACCCCAGAAGTTTCTGCAAGACAAGGCAGTGGAGGAAGGAGGTTTCAATCCCTTACCAGCATTTCCATAAAGCGTGTATCGTCACCTAAATACAGTCATTGCTATACAAACATCAGCATTGGAATCAAATGAGAGACATTTTCTTACTTTTTTCCAAACTACTAGAATAAATGTCAGGTTGACATCTTATTTTAAGCTGCTAATTTTAGTCCCTCATTTTGTTAAATTTAAACTTTTGTAACAAAAGGTCATTTATTTAATCTCTTCTTCAGCATTTGAACCATGCTTTAGGAATGCCTCTGAAAACATTAGCTATTTAAAGTGGTTAAAACACTGGTTTTGGATGAATCTTTAAATACTTAAGCAAAGCTCTGTATTTATGTGATCACAGACAAATGCACAGATTTGCAAGTAATATGCTGTGTAACCACATTCCTAATTAGTTGGGAAAAAAAAAAATGCAGAGCATTGCATCAAGGTATTTCTTATATACATCCAGCCCCTTTTGAAACCAGTTTTCTTTTCTGAAATATTTTTCATTTGTAAAGATGACCATGTTACGGAGGCAGGGATAAGTGCATGCACGGTGTGCTTTTTTAATTCAGAATCACTTTTAATTTTGTTTTTGTTAGAGACACTTTTGTGGGTTGGATTAGAGCCTGAAAGGCCAACCCTCATTATTTAAAGAGGCATTAAAACACTAAAAGCAAGAAGTTAGTGTTCTAAGATCTTCCACATAAAACAAGAAAGAACCTAGGGAAACAGCATCATCCTGCTACATGTCCTTCCATAGAGGACATTTTTGCCCCTGCCTTACTGTTTTATGAAGCATACTGAAAGGAACCTTGTACTACTATAAGATAGAGCTATAAAGAGATGCAAATATCCAAGACCTGATACTTGCCTCATTTCCTTTCTTTTAATGTAATTTTGGGGGGGAAGAGAGAGACTTTTCTATTTGCCAATTTAAGTAAGACTACTGTCTTCATTTTAGTGTTGAAATGGTTGGTAGTTTGGGATGAAGTTGTTAAAGCAGGTTGGGGAATCAGAATAGAATTCCAATTCCTGCAGGGTAACACCTGACTGCCTACCTCTGCAAAGTGCTATGATGGCAGCAGAGAGATGTGACAGGCTCTTGTTAATGCTCTGCACGTGTGTAGTGTCTTCCCTTATTGACACTGTACCTCATGTTCCGTATTTCAGAGACTATTTCAGGCTCTTACATACATTAGATGTTCTTGTAATTCTTCATGTTTCTTTCTCATACAACACTGTTAGCAGAATATCCTAATTGAAGAAAGGCAGTGGTTTGGTTAGTATCTTATTCCTTGAAGTGTGTATTTCTGCTGGATAAAATTAGGAAGTGAGTTAATACATGGTTTGGACAGATCACAGAATGCATGGTGAGGGCACAGCAGACTTTGCCTGTTGCCCTGCAGCATAGGTGCTGTCGCACAACCGAATGGTCCTTACTGTAATGCTACGCTGGAGCAGAGCAGTTAGAAAAGATTTGATGGGATAAGAGTCAAGAGCGCTTTGTTAGCAGAGTTGTACTGTGAAGCTAGCATAGCATCTGTCCTCTGTACCTTGTTCTCAGACTTATAAACTCCGTTTCTTTAATTAAAAAAAGCTCAGGTAACAGAATGTAATTGTTCTCTTCAAGCGAACCGGAATGTGGTCCTTTGCCTGGAGTAAGAGGACAAGTTACATCATCTGTATTTTTTTTTCTTTCTTTGATGATTTGTTTTAAGGGGACTGACTAATTAGTTGCTCATCGGTAGTGTTTGAATTCAAGTATGCTAGACAGTATTTAAAAGAGTGGGGGGAAGAGAAGCAGATGTCCTTTCCCCTTGAAACTAGCAGGACAATTGGACGCAAAGTTTTAACTCACGTTTAACCAAGTTATAGTCTATTCATACTTCCTATCATGCAGCTCTGCAAGTTGGCCTGAAATAACATCAGCCTAATTCAAAAGGAGCATTAGTACAGTACTCGTAGCAGGGAAATGATTGAAAGTTGAATATAGTGGTATTTCAGAAACCAGTAATTCTTAAGCATTCACCTTGTAAAAATGTAGGCGCTGGTACCCAAGGAAGAAAACAAAATAAAGGATGCCAAAGAATTAGCAGCTTTTGGCAGTCTTCTCAAAAAGAGGTTGCCTTTGCATACGTCCATTAGTCTCTTAAACCACCAGACAAACCTTGTGTACAGTACATTTATAAATATTGTGGCAGTGGTGGTAGTTAGCAGGGCTGCAGAAAACAAAATCCTGGGGTTGGTATGTAGCTTTAGAGAATTTATGAATTCCCGTTCTGTATTTTTTGCATGTCAGTTTGGTGGCGGTAGTGGTGCATATGCCCAATGTTAAAACTAAATGCATGAGCCCCTTGCTTGATGCCCCACATAAAGCCAGATACTGGGGAGGTTGCACCCAACTTTTGTTGTCACTTCCTAATGTCTTGCTGTTTGACAGGATATCAGTATCGCAGGAGACTGGATATTACTGACCACCTCGCTAGCTGCTGTTAACATTAAATTCTAATCGCACAATTCACAAAACTGTCCAGTCTCCTTCGAACGCAATGTCTTTGCTATATTTTGCACCTTACTAAGTCTCACATCAGTTATGGTCAATAGTGCAGTAAGAGCTCACAGAGGCACTCACTGTTTCGTCACATTGGAATATGTAAACTAAATTCTGTATTCTGGTGTCTTACTTGCTCTGAGAACTCAAGTCTCTGTGTACTCATCTGTTTCCAGTACTGGCACTTCTGACATGTTCTCTTTAGCTATGTGCATGCTTTCTTGACCTAGTGGACACACATGTTACTGTGGGTTGGAAGTTTCTACAAATTTAGAGCAGCACTTGAAGTACTCTAGAAATAATTGAATTCTGTATGCCAGCATGATCTTTAAACTGCATAAGGAAACCAGTACTTGATACCATGCTACAGAAAGCGTGCAACCAAATTCCTTAAATTGCTACCCCTTGGAAAAGTTACTTGTTAAACTGCCTCAGTGTGAGCCTTTTACTTTACTATGACCTTGACAATGGCTTTGTTCCTGTTATATTTAACTAATGTCTTGCATTTTTTTTCTTTTCATCTCCTATTGATGCAACCTGGAAGAAATGTCAAAAAACGAAGGTTCGATCCAAGTCAACAAGGCCCTATCTGAAGAAATGTGATTCAAAAAGCTGCTTCTTGCACTACTGGATTTTGGGTATGATGACTTTGCTGTAGCTGTACAGGAACTAAGGAAGGAAGAACATGAGAAACAGTAACTATAAACACGCTGCTGGGATGTTAGAAGACTGTCTTTTTGGAGATAAGTTTGAACTACTTCCTCCATTCACCTTCCTCTTGTTAAAATTAACTGACAAGTGTTACAAGCAAACTGTTTCAAAATCAGGTGGTTCTTTTCTTTCCTCAAAGAAAGGAGGAGACACACAGACCAAGTGCAATAAGAGAACTGTTCCAAACCAACAAAATAGCAGAAGATTTTTTTTTCCCCCCCAGCCTGCTGGCACTCTAACTTCATTTGAGTTCGCATGACTTCCTTTTTCTTATCAAACTCCAGTGGCATGAGGAGCTAATTTTGAAAGGGTAACCTGCATGGCTCACATACAAGCACCAAGCTAGCAAGCTGACCCCAGGCAGAATCTGCAGCCAAATAAATACACACCACTGGGAAGCTGATACCAGGCTCTGGTAGCTTTTCCAGCCATGCAGTGCATCCTGAACTTCAGAGTTCCCTGCTCTGTGAGCTCACTGTCCACCTTGTTTTGGTCTCCTGGGCCAGGAGTCTGTTGGGTATGGAAGCTATCAAGCAATGGATGTAATTCTTCCAAGAAGGAAAAGTGTAAATACGGAAATAATATTGACTTATCATTTTCACAGATTATATATATGAAAGAAAAGGATTTCCATATAAAAAGGTTCTATTCTTTATGTAAATCTATTTTTGATGTTGGGTTTGGTTTTGGGTTTTTTTGCTCCCCCCCCTTTTTTTTTCTGTAGCATGTTGTACAGCAGATGTTCTGGGCTTGCTCAAAAGAGGCAGACAATAGCATGCAGATGCAGGGAGTTCTGACACCAGACAGATGTGATCTGAAGTTTGTATGCTTGAAACCAAAAACAATTAAAATGTATAAATGCATCTCTCTGTATTGACTATAAGTCTGGATTACTTTTTTTTTGGCTGTTACACAGATTTTTCGTAATTTAATGTAAAATAAGTGATACCCTCTCAAACTAATCACAGAAGTGCCAAGCTTTTCTTTTTATTTCTTTTTAAACTATAGCTAGTTTTTTCTTGTCTAGATCCTGTGAAATAAAAACCTTAAATAAGCCTTAAAACACTCACAAAATGTTAAAAGCTTGGAACGAGTTATTCTTCTCTTGCCTTTTGCCCACCCACCCAAACCACCTTGCAAAGGTGACTGACATTTCTAACTCACTCCCTGTCTCTCTTTGATGCATCTCACTCTTCAAAGTATAATGCAAAATTAATACTTTGACCCTTGGCTACTGCTAGCTCGTTACTTTCACAAAGTGGGCAAAGTCCCATGTAATTTCATGGGGTTGTGTGTTATAATTACTTTCAAATACATCTTGTGTTCAAACATGGATATTTGCCGGGAAGTACCAGGCAGCAGCACTGTTCCTGTAGCCTGGCTTGAGAAAGGTATGAAAATGTTGAGTTTAGGCCTCCCCTAAAGTAGAGCACTGAACAGTCTGGCTCATCCTTTTCCTCTTGATTTAAAACTTATGTAATTCAGTTTGTGACCTAAAAATGTCATTGCTACATCTGATAGTCAGAATTAAACACTTTTTGGATTTAATTTAAACATTTGGTATTAGCGACAACGGAAGTACAGTTACACTACTCACTCCATCTTTGTTCAGTGGAAATCCATGTCCTGACTTAAGCTTTAAGAGCCAGAACATTAAGAAAACACTGCAGCTTTCCTGTGACTTAGAAAATCTCATTTTAATTATATTTCTTCCTATGATAATGTTCAGTCCGACAGTCTCACAAGAGAACTACACTATATTGTTTTGGGTGACAGTTATTATTAAATGTTTAAAAACAATTTTAACATATCACATTAATACTTACTATGCTGTGAGTTAAAGGTGCTGTACACAGGTAGTCAACATGGATATATATTATAAATCTTATTCTGAAAGATTCCTGCTAGGCTTTGAGCAGAATGAAGTTAGTGAAAATATGGCAAACCAAAAATACTTGCAACTGTCTTACGCTCCTCTAGAAGTACTTTGCTTGGGAACATAATTCCCAACTTTCTTTGTGTTCTACTTCCAAAGCAAACAGAAACACTAGTGGTCCCCACAATTAAAATAAGTAAAGTCAACTGGATATACATAAACTACCTGTGAAATAAACCTTTGAGAAGCATTTCACAAACAACATTGTTAGTGTGCGATGTGATGTTTTAAATCAGACCACACTGGTCCCCAACTACTATGTACATATGTTCAGGGCTGGAGTAACTTTTTATTTACACCAGCAGTTTCATAGGAATTATGATTTCTTGACTGAATTTATACTGCACTCATCAGCTGCTGTGTGCATGTGCAGGAACACATCTGCTCTCTGCCCTGTGTGTACAGCACGCAAGTGACAACACAGCTCAGAGTAGGTACAGGCTGAAGTGATTTCTGTGGTGGCGCACAATTAAAAAACTGGTTTTGGTAGGTGTCAATTTTTTAAATCCCACCTTTGCTGTGCTCTGGGAAGTACATAAGCATTTGGTGTTAATTTGTTCATCACAAAGCATCATCAAAAGAAGACCTGGTCAGTGCTGCCTCCATTTCATCCACTGTACGTTCACTCCATTATCTATTATTCACCTGGACAAGAAACTGTGGTAACTATAGCTCGTTCCAGTTTGCTGCATGATCTGATTTGATCTGATCCTCCTAATTTGCCTAGTAGACTTCGCTTTTAACAGCTGTATAGGTGCACGTTAGAAGAAACAGAGTACTTAAGCTGGAGTTTAACCTGTTTTTCTTTACTATGCAAAGATGGGTATTGCACAAACAAATTTAAGACAAACGTCTGAGGAAATGCCACAGAATACTTGAAGTTATGTTTCAAGCCTAATCAGTCATGTTTTATATTCATTGTTGCTTTCACTGTTACTCTTCCTTTTAAAAATTATTTGTAACTATTTTTAAGTGCACTACTTGATGTTATAAATCAGTTTTTGTTTGAAGTTAATACTCATTCATACCTTGTTGGCTGCTAATGAATGGAAATTCAGTAGTCCTTGTTCTGCATCTTAGCAAGATGAGTATTAAAAACATCATGAACATGGAATGGAGTAGTTTTTAAGTTTCAGTCATTTTTTCCTTACCCTTTTTTCTCTGCATTTTATTTAATTTCTGTGCTCAAGATATCACCACCTTTATAGTAGTGGAAACTGACAGGAATTCTCTTTTATTGAAGATCTCTAAAACTACATGCTGTCTCACAGTGAGATTCTGTCCATGAGAGGACGCTGCACACAGGCTTTCTGAGGTGTGTGGGAGCAGCACCTCAGCACCCAGGGCTGAGCAGACATAGAGAAGGAGGGTTGCTGGGCCTGCTCCAGCTGCTGGCTTCACTGCATTGAAGGAGAACTGTGTGCATTAGTTAGTCGAGGGAAGCCTTCTGCAGTTCACAAATTGGAATTATATAATTACAAGAAGTCTAAAATGATGCAGTTATTTAAACAATGTTTTGAAGGCTTAACCAAAATAACATGGTCATCATTTTAATGGATTACTGAATGAAACTCTGGGAGTTTTTTGGTTCCCCTCCCCCAGACTAACTCTATTGAAGCCAGCCTAGGAAAGCTACATGCATGTATGACACAGGTACCCAATCACTGCTGATATTTTTTTTGCTTTCTCCAGCTCCAGACAGGGAAACAAAATATACTTTTGCCTTAATATCTCCCAAGGCTGTGTATGAAAGCATGTTTCTCATTTACAACTACAGAGTGAAGAAACATTGTCATTAACAGATCCACTATCATCCACTTTTCACAGAATCAGAGAGTGGTAGGGGTTGGAAGG